CAACAATAACCAACAACGTTTTTTCTGTTCGCCACCCTTTCTATTTATACTCAGTCTTTTCCTTTCATGCCTTCGTTTTCTCCCACTACACACAGTTTTCACACTTGTTCGTCACCCTCAGTACACACCCTCATTTCGGGTTTTCCCGAAAGAACTGACGCGTTAGCGGGCCTCGTGCGTCACCGAGGCCCCTCGCGAAGGGTCTAGTTCTGGTCTCAGGCTCTGCTGTTTATTACCCTTTGTCTCTTTACGGCTGCTCAGGTAGAGCCGAGAATTTCCGATACTACGAGGCGTATCCAGAAAGTAAATTGCGATTGGCTATCAAAGAAAGGCAGTAATTTATTTCTATTTGTAAGGGGTTTTTAGTTTAAACAATACTTCGTCCGGATAATTTCAAAACTATATTTATTTTGTTGTCGTCGTTGACTACGCGGTTCAATTTGTTCTACAATTCTTACAATTCTAACAATTCCTCTCGCAGTGCTCGAAACGCGTCCTTATATGTATACGGGCCTTGACGCCCCTCTCTTGCCTTTGGGGAACCCTGGTGCAAGTTGGGGGTTTCTACCCGGCGAGGACCGCGTCGCGCGAGCACGTGGCTGGGCCCTTACCTGACCCAGCCCTTAGCGCGTGAGGGAATCGGGCGTTGGGACCGGGTTCCTCCGCAGACCGAGAGGTAAAAACGTTTGTAAAAATAAAACGTCACTTAACAGCTAACAATTAACGTACATCTCCTCGACGACACGTGATATTTGAGCGTTGATCGGGCCCCGTGTTTGTCGTGACCGATTTTTTTGGGGGATTCTTTATTTCTGGGCAATATGTGGTGGCTGTGTCTCATTCTACTCCAGTTCCTATTCGCAGAGTGCAACGGTGTTGGCCGCTGATCAGATGTCGTTATTCTGCATCTTACAGTACCTGTAGTAGAGGGACGGAGTGCTGGTGGGCATTATCTCCTAGGTACAGGGTGTCCAAAAATTATTTGTCACGGCTATGGGAGGTGATTCTACACCTTTGGATTGGTGGAGATCTGTTAACCCTCGCCCAGCCAATGCCGGGTCACTTTTAACTCATGTCTTAAGCATAGGCAACGTCTGCTCGTTTGCTAGGCTCAATCTTATCACTGTAACATAAACAAATGACTGCGTGGAGAGTTCTAACTTCTAACGTCTTTAGCCAGACAGTATTGAATACAACAGCGAGGAGAAAAAATCGAAGAAGTATAAATATGTTCGAGATGCTACAAATTCATAGGAAATGATATCAAATACAGCTCAAAGTGTATAACATGCCTACTCTAAATGTTTGTTCCCAACGAAATCTTACCTTTTTTTGGTACCGAAAACGAAGGTGTTTGTTTTTTCAATTGCACAAATGGTTCCCGTGTTACTGTTAAACGAAGCGAATATACACTTACAACGTCGGGCTTGGAGATGGTATTTCTTCGCGACTTTCGCGTAATGTACCGGTACGATACTCGTACTCCAAATAGAATATGATTCTGCTATTCGTTCTGGACATCGGCGTCGAATTATCGAACTACTTTGGTGATGCAAATACAGATAACTAAATATTTCGACTTTAAAAATATTCCCTACAAATAATTGTTTCCAACGAAATATTACCATTTCTTGATACCGAATGCAAAGATGTGCTTTGTGTTTTCAATAGCTCAAACGTTTCCTGTGTTACTGTTGAACGAATCGAAAATACACATACAACGTCGCTCATGGAAATATTATTTCTTCGCGGTTTTCACTTAACGTACCGGTACGATACTCGTACTCTATACGTAGTACGATTCTGCTATGAATTCTGGACATCGGCGCCGTATTTTCGAACTACGATGTGTGGGAATATACAGATAATTAAATATTTCGAATTTAAATATAATTCCTTCAGCTTAATGTATTCAACGAAATCTTACAATTTTTTGATCCTGAATATAAAGGTGTGCTTGGTTCTTCAATACCCCACAATGTTGCTCTGTTACTGTTAAACGAAGCGAATATACACATGCAGTGGCGGCCAGCTACTTAAGACCGCTGGGTAGTTAAGGAAATAAACAGTTCTAATATTTTATTCATTGTATTTTTCGTATACTAAACTCATATGAAATAGATTTTGAAGTATGTTGTACCATAATATCGCAATAATTCTATTTGCAACACTATTAACTACAAATATTTTTAACATTTTCTCAGATTAGTTTGTTATAGCAGAGGACAACTACTTAAAACCAAATTAGACTAATACTATAAATACAGGTAAAATTAATAAAACTTGGTAATTGCGGAAACATAAAACTTAAAAAGTAGTTAGTAACGCGTTGCACTCCCTTTTTGCCGTATCACTTCTTCACAACGTCTTGGCATAGACTCAATCAAACGACGACAACGCTCGACTGGAATATTATTCCACCCTTCTTGAATAACAGCGTACAGTTCATTTAAATTTTTGAGCTTTTTATATTTTACATGTTTCTCCACATCAATCCATAGCATCTCAATAGGATTGAGGTCTGGAGATTGAGAGGGCCATGGTATAATGTTTACATTTTGCTGACATAAAAATTGTTTGACCCTACGGGCTGTGTGTTTCGGGTCATTGTCAGCTTGCAAAATCCCCAGTTATCTGGCATTTGATTTCTTGTAAATGGGAGCAATACCTCATTTAATATATCAATGTATTTGTATTGATCCATTATTCCTTCAATTCTATGAATTGGGCCAACAACTTGTAACGTAAACGCTCCCCAAACGTTCGCTGAACCTCCTCCACCTTTCACGGTTGATTTTATACATTTTGGCGAAAATTCCTCGATGACACGACGTCGAACATACAATTTGCCATCTGACCCCATTCTATTAAACTTGGACTCATCGGTAAAAACAACTGTTGACCAGTCTGCTATTGTCCAGTTGCGATGATTTTTAGCGAACTGTAAACGAAGTTTTCGGTTTCGTTTGGAAATGAGTGGCTTCTTGCGAGCGATGCGACCCATAAGATTAAATTCGTTTAATCTTCTTCGCACTGTTCGAACACTAATTTTGCTGATAATTTCGACACCAGATTCATTGAGAACTTGTTCGGCTGTTTTGTAATGGTCCGCTTCAGAGATGCTGTGAAGAATGCGATCTTCTCGTGCTGTTGTATTACGAGGCCTTCTTTTACGCGACACGTTACAAACTGATCCTGTCTTAGATATAAATTGCATTGCCTGTATACACGCCGTTTTGGAAATATTTAATTTTGTAGCAATTGCCGAAAATGAGTATCCCTTATCTCTCAATAATATAATTTGAATTCATAGTTCAGGAGGTATGTTCTTCTCTCGACTCATGATTGTTGACTGATTAACAATTGTTTGCGATCTTGAATGAAGTGATCCATCGCAACCATGTCAACAATGATGGTAACTAAGGATCTGATGCAACTATGTAATGTGAAAATAAGCAAAAAATGAAAAACACGAATCGGTCTTAAGTAGTTGTCCGCTGTTATAACGACCTAATCTGAGAGAATGTTAAAAATATTTGTAGTTAATAGTGTTGTAAATAAAATTATTGCGATATTATGGTATAACATACTTCAAAATGTATTTCATATGAGTTTAGTATACGAAAAATACAATGAATAAAATATTAGCACTGTTTATTTCCTTAACTACCCAGCGGTTTTAAGTAGCTGGCCGCCACTATATATGTTCACAACACACGATAAAAAAAAAGAAAATTTTATGTACACAATGTACATAAACAAAGTAAATAATATATTTATGAAACATTTATATGTTTTCTTATAAGATGATATTTATTACCTAAAGATTAGTTCTGAAATACGTATAGTAAAAATTCCAGTATGGGTCAAAAGAGACCCGGCGTTGGCGTGCTTCGTCACTGTTTTCGGTCGGTTGTTCGAGGGTTAAAAAAAAATAACCGTAAAATTGACCTTGGGCATGATTTTCAAAGTCAAATTTTTTTTTACTTGCATTGTTTTCTACTCGTCGCAAGGACAAAAAGTGGTAAGAGAACCACGGGTCGTAACTCAACCGTTCTCTTAAAACGTGATGTTAAATTTCTCAAATTAAGACTTCTGAATATTGGAGAAATGTGCATGTCACAATAACGACTATACAAGCCATTTTTCTTCTTCGAAGTTTTACGCCGCATCGACTACGAGGTCATTAGCGACAACGACGGTTGGAGTTGGTTAAATTTTGTTAAGCATATTTATTTCTAGAAGGAATTTGTTGTGTTTTTATGCTATCTAGCGAGCTTAGGGCTGTATCGTTTTTTTTTATATCTCTGTCTGTTACGGAACGGGCCGTAACGGTTGAGACCGCCTTCGTTTCGGGTTGGTTAAAGGCGTAAAATTCCAGAAATGTGTTTGATGTTGTTTTATTTAATGTTCAGTTCGAACGGGTGTCGGTTTAGGTGTATGGTTTACACTATCTGTCGACCTTGTGCAGGTACGTCGGTTTTATACTAGTTTTGGCACCTTGCTTCCGACCAATCAACGGTCAGGAAAAGGGCCCGGAGTCGAGCGTCGCTTCATGGGTTTTTCCCGACTTTGCTCCCTTCCTACTCGTGGCGGTTGCTTGGCGTTTTGGTTTATAATTATAAAGGTGTTTGGTTATGATAATAATAATATCTAATAATAATGTTAATAAGAATATTATAATAGTATCTAATAACAATGTGTGGGGGGAAGGAAGTGGGTTCGTAACACTGTCTATGTGGTTCGGTAGATCTACATCCGAAGATCATGTAGGTGCTTGTTCGTTGTCGGTTCCGGCATAAGCTGCAGTGGGGTGTTTCTGTTTTTTCGATTAGATATTGGTGTGGTATAATTTGGTGTGCCCCGTCCGTAGGCTAAACCGCAATTCTATGCGTTTTGATTTGGAATGACTCAGCAAGTGCTACACGTATCCTTTTGCAAATTTGTATATTTATTCTACCATCTTTTAGGAAAACAAAAATATTCTTTATAAATGAAAATACCCATTTGTTGTAAAATAGGACCATCCCGAAGAGAGCGCCTTTAAAAATATATTTCCCGATGGCTGACATGATATCAGACGTACTTATCCAAAATACAAACATATTCTTAATCTATACATATAAAACCGCTTCCTTTGAAGGCGTATAACTCTGCTAATTTTGAGAATTAAGCTTTAAAACTTGGACATATTTTCGATATGTTAAACTATAGGGTTATCCAAATTAAGTGTCACATCTTCAAATTGAAATAAAACGCAAAGTATTTGAGATTTGTATGGTTTCTTTATTTTAACACAAAGTCTACTTTATGACATTAATTATGAAAGACAATATCATTCGTTAGGTTTGATACGTTTGATCCAATTTTCCATTACATTTTCACCTAACTGAAATTCAATTTCATTAATGGCGACTGTGATATTGTTTTTCAGCTCGTCAATAGTCTTTGGATTATTAGCGTAGACTTTACTATTCAAGAATCGCCATAGAAAAAACCCTAATGGTGTTAAATCACACGATCTTTGTGGCCAAGTGATGTCTCCTCCATTACGCGTCCATTAAACATTTCCTTCAGCAGAGCAATTGTTTCCTTTGATGTGTGGCATGTGGCGCCGTCTTGTTGGAACCAGATATCGTCCAGGCTCATATTGTTCAATTTGGCCCTAAAGAAAGTGGTTACCATGTGACGATAACGCTGTTGGAAGATGTGACACTTAACCCTTTGACTACGGCAGACTTTGAGACGCACCAGCCGTACCATACGGTAGGAAATCAGTCGCGACGGACACCGAGAACGGTGAAACTTTTCGTTAGGCGTGCATTTCTGAGAAAGTATATTCAAATAATCAAAATACTGTATTCCACTACATTAAAACAGTATTATTTATTTCTTTGTATTCCGCATTCAATTGTTAGTGTACAATTTAATATTAACATTAAGCTTTTTTCACAATATATCTAATAATCTAGCAAAGTGTAGTACAATTCGAAACATGAATAAATACATAACAAAAAATAACTGCAAAATATAAATAAACATATTTAAATAATATATGACTAACGGAATATGTAATTGCTGAATTAGCATTCACTTATGTCTGACTGAAATAAGATCTGCCGGAATTATGATCGATAAAATTTTCCGGGCGCCTCTCGTGTCAGTGGACCGAACTTGATTAAACGCCTATAGGCGCCTACAGTACCATAAGAGCAATATTTTTAAGCGCCCTTAGGTGCCTACAGTATCACAAGCGCAAGTTTTCTAAGCGCCTTTAGGCGCCAACAGTAGTCAAAGGGTTAGTTTGGATAACCCTGTATAAGAAAACGCAAAAAAAATTGATTTTTCAACAGTCATGTAGGAAGACCCCTTAATCTATACAGACGTCTGTTAAGATTTGCCAATTCTGTTAAATTTGAATTTTGTAAATACTAAGATCCACGATATCATGTTTCTAACCATTCTGTTTTCTCTTCTTAACGCAGGACTGTAACATCAGCTGTGTTCACACGTGAAGATAAAATTGTCTCAGGGTCGGATGATCGAAGTGTGAAAATATGGGAACTGCGTAATATACGAAGTCCGCTAGCTACAATTCGAGGAGATAGTGCTGCTAATCGATTGGCAGTTTCAAGCACTGGCATCGTTGCTATTCCGCATGATAATAGACAAATTAGATTATTTGATCTTAACGGTCAGCGATTAGCAAGATTGCCCAGAACAAGTAGACAGGTGAGTGAAACTAACTTTCATTATCGAATATGTACCCAAGCCTGCTTCATTACACTCATATACACTATGGAAGGATATTAAAGGATCGCGTGGTTTGGGTTACGTAGTTTTCTTTTTTGCAAAGTTTATTTTATTCCAATCGTGAGTGAGGTCGTCTGCTAGCGACTGACTCTTCGGACGCTCGTTTTTACCAACTATTTTAGTTTACTCCTAATTGGTTCCGCGTCGCGTTGACCAATCCGATAAGTTTTTTTTTACAAAATCGCCGCTTGTCCTTTTACGCCCTCTGGCGTGCTTTTCCTTGCACCGAGATGCGATTTGGTGGGGGATATAGTGACTCTGGACATTTGGCGCTGCAGCGGAAATGTCCTCCAGGTTCGGTACGTATGACCTGTTCGGTCGAACCTTTCGGAGACTCTTGGTTTTTGATGCGGTAATTTACTATCGAGTTCGTCGGTGAAAGTTCGTAGAAAAACATGCACTGCCGGAAATTCTAAGGCCCGATCCACACTAGCGCTTTGCTCTCGAAATATATATTAGTTTATACATCTACGTTTGGTTAAAAATCCGCTTTTTCGCGATTTTCAACATGTTATCATTTGCTAATAACTTTGAAGCCATCAAAATGATGACATAAACTCATCATTATTTCACATAGACTACAACATATATTTTCGTTTTTGCAAAACAAACATTTATTTACAATTTTCATATTGAAAAGGAGGGCATACAACAAAATGAAAAATATTCTTAGAAAGTACCATCTTTTGTGATGCGAATGAAAAAGAAAAAATAGACTACAACATATTACAGTTTCATAAAAATCGGAATTTTGAATGGAATAACCGGTGGTAAATCGAGAAACGCGTTCACACTCTGGGTTCAGTCTGATCTCGCTTCAGCAAAATATTCTTTCCAAAGATAGTTGCTGGGATGAGACCGGACCGTCACCAAAGCGGTACGTTCTAAACCAGAGGCCCTTAATTTCTTGCTCACGAGCAAATTTCCCCTCCAGAGGTTCCCCCACTATGCGGTACGAACACGCAGAATGGGTAACATAAACCAACGGCAGTCGCTGGAGTTGTGGTGGGAGGACTCCTCGCGTTCTCCTCCCGCCGCGCCGCAACTCGAGCGAGACCATCTCAGTCGCATAGTGGGGGAACCTCGGGAGGGGAAATTTGCTCGTGAGCAAGAAGTTAAGCGCCTCTGTTCTAAACCATAGAAGAATATTTGACCGGACCGGGAGCGGACCGCTAGTGTGTACCGGGCCCAAAACTGAAAAGTTTTCATTCTATTAAGATATAATAAATAACGGAAACTTCTAATCTAATCCAATGCTAGTGTTTTGTTTTAATCAATTAATTTATACGTCAACTGATGCTGATGTGTGCCTAGTGGTACTCCACTAATATAGTGGAGCTAGTTCGTGTTCCGGTTCAGCGAGCACCAATCAGAAAGAAACTCTTTTTAATTGGTCAGCTGAACAAATAAAAAGCTAAAATTGTAGCTAGCTTTTTAAATGTTAATAATGTAGGAACCGACGGAAAAATTTTGAGGGACACAACGGGAATCGAACCCGGGACCTTTGGCTTGGCAAGCCGAGGCTTTGTGCACTACGCCAACTACTCCCTCTCTATTTTCCCTGGTCGGTTTCCTATTTGGATATGGAGGCCCCGATACTACAATAATTTTTACCTTCTCTTTCCATAATATCCTTCAGCACCCAATCCGCATTTCTTACTTTTTGACTCCTCCTATCCATCCAGCCAATCACCTTCCATCCGACCTTATACTGGGTGGAGCATTTAAAACAGGTCACCTGAATAACTCGCTTGCTTTTGATGGTAGAAGAAAATGCATCGGATCAAACCTGCTTGGTTTTGAGGGGCACATAATTTCATGACAATAATTTTTTTGTGGATAGAAGCGTAAAGAAGGTATAAAGGTTAACCCAGTTTTTTTAAAAGGAATGATTTGTCTTTTTATTTACATAAGTCATAAATTTGTACATATTCTTTATATTTCAAACTATAAAATGAATACAACATAACAATTTCGATTTCTTTCAAATCGACAAACGAGAATACTTCCTCAAGTGATGAAAATTGTAGAACGATCAAGTTTTGTACCATAACTTTATTGGAATAAATATAAACATACGCCCGTTACATTCTGTGATGTAGAACGTTCTTTTTCAGCATACATCTTAATATTATACGTTAAACGTCAACAATTAAATGTTACAAATATGGAAAAGTTACTTATAATTTATTGTAATGTAAATTATGGTACTTCACCATAAATCGATTGTTAATTAAAACAGGTGTGTTAAATACCCTCTTGTTCTAGTTCAGGTAATGTTGTATGCGATATATTTATGTTGAACACATTACTCACAAATTGTACATATTTTCCATGCATATATACATATTTTTCCTGCATACATGCATATGTTCTTTTGCATACCTCACGTGCATAGAGGTCCGCAGTCTAGTCATGACGAATTGGCTGGTTTCGATTTCTCATATAATTTTGGGACATTTTGTATCCTTTTTTGTAATATTCAACATTAACTATTATTATAGACGTAATAGAAATTAATGAGACTTTTAAGGCTTTTACAGCCTGGATTACTTGAATTGTTGTTCAAGGCTTCCAAATTTCAGCAGTGTCCAAAGTTTACTGCATTCTAACGTTTTGCCAAGATTTTAATTGATCAGGCTGACCAAGTAAAACCACCTGTTTGGTAACAAATAATCTATAACATGAATACGTTGTGCTTATAAGCACTAATCCAAAACGACACACGACATTATTATTGGCTGTACCCTGATGAATCTAACTGGCAATGTTGGCAAAACACCGAAATTCAATAAACCTTGGACACGGCTTAAACCCCCAGAAGCCTCGAAATACAATTTATGCAAATTCATTTCACCTTGTAAAATAAATTAAGTCTTAATTCCGAATTACAAAAGGCTAATATCGAATTTTATGATTAATTTTAGGGTCATCGAAGGATGGTGTCATCGGTAGCCTGGGCTGAAGATAGCGGAGCCTGTAATTTGTTCTCTTCAGGCTTTGACAGATTAGTTCTTGGATGGAGTATTGTACCTCTTAAGGAATGTTAGATATCTATACATATATTTATTTATTTAGCATAGTCTAATGTTATGTTAAACCAAACAAGATTATAAAATGAAATTTAATTGAAAATAAATGATTAAACTAATTGTAAAATTTCAAACGTTGCGGCAGCAAAGTTAAATGCACAGTTGTAAACAGTCATACCTATTCCCAAAATTATCAAGGATTCCAGCTTTCTGTTGTTGGAGATCACTGAAATTATACAATATATAAATAAATAAATAAGTAACGACTATAAATAATTTAGTATTAGTATAATAAATTACATATTGACATTAAAATTTCATCAATGTGTCCGGAGACAAACAAATTCAAACTATCCGTTAACAATTCTACGAAAAATCAATAGACTCCAAATTATTATGTAGAATAAAAGTAGTTTTTATTAATTTTAATAAAAAGTAATAAGTTTTTATTAATGAAAAATGTGAAATTCCAATGCACTATCAAGAAGTGTTATTAGTCAAATTAATGAATTTGTTACATTATAAAAATAATTTAAACAAGTTTTTGAAGGTATTTGTAAATTTTATTTAAAAAATGCACGGAAAGGACAATGTTAAAAATAGGCGAATTTTGGTCTACATCCTTGTAGGATATTGTTCACATGTAGCAACAACTTTATGGATTTGCTCGACACAAATCCTTCATTCATTTACCAGTAAGTTTTTTGAATAATTATTTCACAGGTGGATTATCATCCAAAGAAAATAGGGTTAGAATATAATGACAGTCATAATTATGATTAGTTTATTGTAGTTAGACTAATTTATTATAACTTTTACTACTTCTAGAAGAAATAATTATTGGTTTTTGATTTTTAGAACATAATTATTGTACTATAAATAAATTTTTTTCTTTTCGATGATTTGCACGCCTCATCAAATTTGATTACTTTTTGTTTATATGGAACACCCATCAGAGCTGGACAATTTTAGAAAAGAAAATTCTTTTCCTAACGAATGGAATGTTGCATTCTCAAACGGGCTGAAATAGCCGTAGAAGTTTTGTATGCTCGTGACTTTCAACTGACCATATGAACCAGGCAATACTTCTGGAATGACCGTGTTCCTTGTATTGCCATATGATAACAACTCCACTCTATGGGTTATGACGACTGCAATGCCTTCTTTTTTGTACACGGGGGATGGGGGGTAGTGTGGAATTCTTACCCACTAAAACCCCCATTGCTACCCTCGTCGGGCATGCTAGAGGTGCTCCGAGAATCATTTTTAAATTCTTTCGGGTACTCCCCCGCCCGATCGAAGGGAGGGGCTCAAACCGGCCCTTCCCTTGTCCTCCTAATACCGGCGGAGCAGGGGTGTAGCGCCTCGCTCCGCCCCGTCCCGTCCCGGGGATCGCACGCAATGATGATCGATCAACATTTCGAAAATATTACCGAATTTCGGGGAGCATCACGTGGAAATACTAGAGACGACACCACCGGAGAATGGCAACGATTGGTTGCACAGCCATGCAGGAATTTCACTACAAAAAATAGTGCAACAACTAAAGAATATACAAACAGGAAGAGCGCACTCTCACCCCCTTTCCACAGAAGGAATCGTGGGCTTGATACTAATACTATCCGGAGTCGCATACATAGCTACTAAAAAGGCAAGGAAGATGTACCTGCGGGAAGAAAACGCTCCACAACAGGAAGACCACCTACCGAACAACTAACCCGACGTACAGACGACAGCGCAACACCCACTTGGTCTGATCGCGCTACGTTCGACATAAAAACCAGGGAAAGTTCCCCTTTTTTTCTGGTATTACTACAGATCTCTCAGTATCTGACATGCCTAGAGACGCAGCTACGCAAACTGATGCCAATGAGGGCCATCGAACGATTTCGGTGCAAACGGGTGAAAAGGGGCATTGGATTGCCGAACGACGGGAGGGCAAACTTCATACAAGAAGAGGTAACTTCAATAGTCGCAATGGTACACATCAAAACGCTCGATACACCCAGACGCGAAAAATTAGGCAAAAGGACCAAGCGACAGGAACGTCACGGAAAAGGAGAGCAACCCCCACTCCACAGTACGACAGGGAAGACGTCCTCCACCTAGTAGTGATAACGGACGAAAACGTACGAGGGTGGACCCCGGGCGAAGGAAGGGGAAAAACTAAGGAAAGGACCTAAACGGACTGAGGAGTGGGAGAACCTCACAACTAGCTATAAAAAACAAGCATCCAGGAGCAAAGACATCATTCAGTGTCTAACGCCACCGACCATCTAACATGTGTTACATCCATAAAGCAATGACTACGAACGAGATACGTTTGGAGGAGATCCAAATAGCCCTGGCAACACTATTTTGCACATGGGCAGTGTATTTCACAAACGAAAAAAATGAAGCAGTTTGCGAGGAATGTGCAAATTCAACGCAAACAACGGGAGAAAAACTCCAACGCCACCAACCATCCAGCAGAGCACGGATGGAAAAATGCACGTCCTGCAAAACCCCTGTTACCCGAAACAGAAGGATAAGGGATTGCGAAGAGTGCATGGGAGACCTCTTGGAAAAAATAAGACGACACCATACACCTGAACCGAAACCGAAAGTACCAGTGGACCATGAACTCCAGAGAGAAGTCCGGAGAGTGTTAAGCTTCACATCCTGTACGAAATTAATCTTCTTTACAACAAACGATGACCGTGATCTATGCATGAGCTGCGCCAGAACAACAAAGGAGGAGCTGGAACGATATGACTCGCACGGTCCAGTCAGAACACCTTCCATCGAACCGTGCGACAACTGCGAAGTCCCAATGCTGATCGTGCGACCTGCCAGCGAGTGCCCTGACTGTGTTAAAAGGATTACAGGAGGACTGGAGCTCGCAAGGCGCTACAGAAACGCCCGACTCAGGAACCAACCACGACCAACCACCAGCGACCGCCTGGAATAAGGCGACCACCTGGACACTCCGTCGCCCCTAAACCCCCCAGGTCTATTTTTCTTTATTATTTGTCATTTAAGGATTTTAATTTTACCCCGTTATCTTCTTCAGTTTATAGTATTCCAACCATTATATTAATACATAGCCCATAGTTTTAATTTTTCTTGTTTTATTTTAATTATTTTTAAACTTACACTAGATATAATTAGTTTTAATTTCATGTATTTCTATAACCTTTTATTTATATATAATAATTTCTTATTATTTTTGCGTAACCATTGTAAAACACGGCACCACACGTTTCGGCTCTCATTGTGGAAGCATCATAATAAACGATGTTCCCTCTGAGGGGGGAGATGTTACGTACGCGTTCTACCCGAAGCGTGCGGCGCCGAATGTTTAGTCTAACACGCACCCCCCCGATAGTCGCCAAGCAAAGGGATGAGCTTACATTCAATTCCCACGGAAATCTGACGTTCCCCACCACCAAAAATCTTAGTTTTCGGGGTATAAAAGGGTAGGATTTTCGACGATCGCGGGCAGTCTCTAAGTCAGATTTTGAACATAACGTCACTCTGTCCGTTAGTACTTGATACGAGCAAGATCGGGTTCCAGTCCCCTTCGAGCAATAACACAACGCGTAAGTGTCAACCAAAATAGTACTGTACACGACTCCTCCGCGCTCTCACCGCGTAAAGTCGAGAAGGGAGATTCTTGCCGAGTCAAGAATCGACCAACGTAAAATTTTGTAATTTATAATAGAATATAGGAATATAGAGTACTACTCGTGTCCATATTCAATCAACCCATCCTGAGTAGTATAGTAACGTACCAGCTAACCCCACGACAGATATACCTTTACCGCTCGAGGTATATCAACGACACGACTCGCGAATACCAAACACCTTCTTATCCGGTGGCACATAGCGTTAACCAAACGCTAGTGGTCCATCTCCTTCGGCTACCTTCGTTAACCATACGTTGGCACGTCCGAGACCTCCTATCTCACCTACGACACACTGTCCGGTGGCACGCGGCGTTAACCATACGCC